ATCCGAGCTGCTTTTCCTCACGACGGAGGCAATTAACCCTTTCAGGAACAGCAGTTACTACAGTGGACAGCTTATCATGTCAGGTTATCAATATTGGTGCATGAAAGGTTGAAAGAAAACTGTACCCATGCACACAGGTACACTGCACTTGGTGCTAGACTTGTGCTTGGCACAAAAATAGGCCCCTTTATGTTAATCTGCTACTACAGAATCGAAGGTACCGTAGCAAACAATACAGCAATGTTCTGTCAGCCACTAGGCAAGGGACGCAAGCAGGCTTGTTCCAATAGGTTCTGACTATGCAAATTTTGAGTTTGCCCCCGAAAATGAACAATATAGGGCATGTTTGGTTTAGTCCATGTGGAATCACCACAAAAGCAGCGATGCTCTCAAAGCACCAATAAATAAATTATGAGGAAAGTTTGGAGAGAAAAATAACACAAAAGAGTCCACAACTCCATTGCCTTAAGGTACAGTACTGAAGTGATCCTTAGAAGTGCAATCGGAATAATTACAGTGCCTATTTTGCTTTCTTTGCCACTATTTTATGTGAGATTAAAATAACAAACATGATATTTTGGCGAGGGATGTTAAAATTGAGCTACATTGCGGCAACAAGACATGATCGTGAAAATGAAAGGAAGCTCTTTTTGGTTTATTTTGTCGTTAGTGATAATTTAGGCAAGAATGTTTATTTGTATAGCAGCATTCGTACATAAGGCAGATCCATAGTGCGTTACAGAGGCAAAGAAATAATGATCAATAAAAGATGAAGGGATGAAAACCAAGATAAAATCTTAATTTAAAGGGTACATGAAAAGATCAAACAAAATGGAAAAATGACAAAACACAAATTTCGAGTTAAATATCAAAAAATAAAAGCACAATGGTGAAAACAAGAAATAGTGTTGTTGATTTATGAAAATGTTCTTATCCTCAAACTCAAACAAATGATTATGTATGTTGTAATTAACACTGAATATATTTTAAAAGCGCCAAGGCGAATATTTTTCTCACAAGCAGTGATCAATAATGTTTTCAAGACAGATTTAAATGTACTGAGAAGATTTCAGATGTTTAGGAAGTTTGTTCCACAATTGAAGAGCATAGAAGCAGATCTATGCTCCTTTTGACAATTGTCGACTAACAGTAAATTTTTGAACTCTATCTATGACTCACAGGAAGTCAGTGTAGAGATTTTATGACCAGGGTGGTGATGTCCACTTTCCTGGTTCCAGTAAGACCTGAAGCAGCAGCATTCTGGACCAGCTGCAGCCGATAATTGGTTCAGATTTGTTAAAACCCTGTCACAATTGTCCAATTTATTTTAATGAACATGTCAACCGGCTTTTTGTGGTTTGTGTCACTCTTTGAAGAATAGAGTCGAGACAAAATATCAATAGTGTCAAATATCTGTGATGTGATACTTCCTCCTGTGATACGTCGGTGTAAAATATCAAAACAGCATTAAAATTAGGTTCCCTCGTCATCCCCCTGTTTGGATTTAGTAGAACGATTGTCGTCATTTTCAGGCACGGTGACACTTATCACAAACTAGTCCAGGACACATGCAAATCGGAGAGTAATTCATGAATCTTGCTCTTTGCTTTATTTATTCGGTAAGGCAGATGAGAGTTTTGTGATGTCATTTTCATGTGTTGACATGATACTGTATCAAAACAGCATACATCATTGGATTACAACATAACCATATCGTATAGTATAGTATAGTATCGTATCGTATCATATCGTATCGTATAGTATTTAGTAGAGGAGAGTGCATCCATAAAGTATTTTCAATATTAAGAATTACAAAGGCAGTCTTAACCAGATGTGTTTTTCTTGCAAAAAAATGTGTTTATTGGGGTTTGTAATCAAACTGTAATTGTGTGTTTCAGGACACCTCTGCTGGTGAAAGAGGAACTGTTAAATGAAACCCTCAAAAATGGCTGCTAGTCAAGAGAAGGCAAACCAATTCTTGGGCCACCACGGACACCAGCTATCACTCCCTTGGACTTCTTTCCGTGGGGTTATCTCAAAAGATATTACGTATCGCTCAAAGATATTAGTGACATTTGTGACTTGGAGTAAAAGATTTGTGAGGCCGTTGCCAACATTGATGAGGCTACGCTACAGCGAACATGGCAAGAAATTGATTGCCATCATGATGTGCTTTGTGAAATTAATGGTGCCTATAAAGATGTGTATTAAATGAGGGTTTAAATAAACAACTTTGACAACCACTGATTACAATAAAGCAAATCTGGTTAAGATTTGTCATCCACTGTACTTGTAATAAATTCTTAAAATTAATTAATTAAAGAGACTTCATGCACATGCTGTCGTAGTATTGTATGATATGGTACATTTGCACTAGTACACCAGAAAATATAACAATTTAGCCAAGCATAGTAGAGTGCAACAGAGCACAGTATAGTCCACAATTTAATTGCATAGTAGAACAGTAACATAGCATTGTCTTAGTATGGTGTCATATAGTTCACCATAAAACATTATAGCATAAGCTAATAAAAGAATATTTTACTGTACATAATGGCAGAATGGAATACAGAGTGTGGTACAGTGCAATCCAGCATATTGCATCGTATTGCAGAATATACACTTAGCATTGTCCAGAAATTTAACTGATGTCACTTAAAGAAGTACACTTAAGAAATCGCGTATTCTAGCCTATCATAGTAGAGCACAACATAGTATGGTACTGTATATGGCAATACAGTGTAGCATATGTATTCATTTAATAGGATACAGTACCGGTAGGCTATACACAGTATATAATCTATAGTATCGTATGAGGCACTGATTTATATCCCCCTGGAAATATAAATGGTTTTATTCTACAAAGCAATGAGCAAAAGATGTTTTGTTATTATTAATATTTACTGCTTAGCACAATAAAAAATGAAAGAGGATTAGGTCATTTGGAATGTCTGTTCCTCATGCGTCTCCTGTATAGTGTGTGTGTGTGTGTGTGTGTGTGTGTGTGTGTGTGTGTGTGTGTGTGCGCACCCATGCACAAGCTAGTTTGGGTTTCCCCCACTGTCTCCAAGTGGGACGATGAGGTCATCGTTGGGGTTTAAACCCAGCATAATCCAGGAGATAAAGGCTGGATTTGGATTTAGCACTCAAAAAGGGTCATGTAGCTACAACTATCAGACTCACACACAAACACAAAACGATCCCAACTGTTACACAAACAAGAGTATGGCTCAGTGTCAGTTGATTTTTGCTCCGGTATTTATAGAAATTTCGTCATCTCCTCAAACTGGCAACTATTTGCTGTGCGGGGTTCCCAAATTCCCAAATGTGTTTAGTTAAAAACAACTGGAGTATTTTAAGAATTTATTCCCCACTAATAATTTTTTTCTTGTACCTTTCTTGTGAAATGACGACTTAATTCCTGTCATGGAGTTTTAAAGTTGCCACTGATCTCATATTTTATAGTTTATTCTTGTATAGTTTCCAAATTTCTTTACATGTAACCACTTTATCGTCGATATTTTCTCTCATAGATAAGCTTTTATTGTACAGTTTTATTCTTGTAGGGTGTAACCACAGTCGTTTGCTTTTGTTAAGTATGAAAGCCTTTTTGTGGTGTTGGGTTGCCACAATGGCAGACTTTGACTTGCACAGATGTGGCGATGTGTGTTCCATTTTATTCAATGACAGCGTAATAAATTAGCAAATACTATAAGACAGACATGGATAAACAGTACTTTACAGGAGGCTCAGCTTTTCTTATGGCTTCTTAGTACGGCAGTAATATTATGTAATATAATATACACATAATATAAAGAAGGAGCAGGGGGGGTTGACTGGTTACCACGTCCGCTTCAAAATGCAGGGGTTACAGCGTTCGAATCCAGCTCCAGCCTTCCTGTGTGGAGTTTGCATGTTCTCCCCGTGCCTGTGTGGGTTTTCTCCGAGTACTCCGGTTTCCTCCCACATTCCAAAAAACATGCATGGCAGGTTCATGAAACACTAATCTAAATTGTCCCTTGTTTTGAGTATGAGTGCGAATGGTAGTATGTCTATGTGCGACCTGCGATTGGCTGGCAACCAGTTCAGGGTGTACCCCGCCTACTGCCCGAAGACAGCTGGAATAGGCTCCAGCACGCCCGCGGCCCTTGTTAGGATAAGCAGATTAGAAAATGGATGGAGTGAGTGCCCTGAAAGACACTTAAAAATAAAATCAATTATTATTAATACATTATATGTGTTGCAGCACTATTTGCTAATTGTTGCCACTGTGCCTATGTAGTTTCCCATGGTATGTTAGCATTCAGATAGCGTATTTGGTAAGACTCGTGTCACTCATATCTTAAGCCACCGCTTTATATTGTATAATAAAAACTTGAACAATGTGTTGTTTGTGAAATCAAATCATATAATGCTTTTCTTTCCCTCAAAAAAAAAAATTAGATATGGGAATTCCATCCACCTGACTACATTTAACTTACTTCTGTCTTTTTTTTTGACAAACACTTAGTCCCGCTAGGCTGCTGTATTTGAATATTAGTCATGATGATGGCACTTGGAGAGTTAAGTATAAGGTAGCAGAACCAGTGATTTAGATAAAAGTTTTTGTGGAGGGGTGAGGAGTGGGGGTCTTCCTTCTTTCATGTTTCCCAGTGTGGCAGAAGGGGAAGAGGGTGCGGGGTGTAGTTGGCTCACAGATTATGCACCAATTACACTCCATCCAGAGGGCGTTAATAGGGTTTGAAAAGGATTTACACAACCTGTCCAGTCAAATGCTGCGTGCTTTGTGTATGACATCATTTGGATCACCTCACATACCAGCTGACCCCCCATAAACGTCCCCCCTCCCTCCCCACCCGCCTAAACGTAGCCTCACGCTCGCATCAAGCGGTCTACCTGCACCGGGGATACGTCAACACACATCTCTTCTCCGATTGGACGATATCCTACGTTAAACCCCGCCCCCTTCCCCCAGTTTCTTCCTCCGTCGCTCTCCCGCTCCTCCCTTCCCTGCCCCTGTTTACAGACTACGGCGTGAGCTACGGTCACCGTATATAATCCCGAGTGTGGCCGCGTAGCATCCTCTGAGAGGATAGGAGATGGAAAAGGGGGTGTAAGGAAGCAAAACAAGTATTTGAAAAAAATAATAAAAAACGGATTAAAGCGAGGGAGGAGTCTGATGGACTTGACCGTCACCGTAGCGTGGATGCTGAGGATGAGGATGCGACTAGCTTGATTGCGGAGGGGGTGACGCAAAATAAACACCTTTTACTAGTACATGTATATTTCATCATTTTCCGTTAAGGGGAAGAGGATTTGACTCCACGGGGATGGACGTGAGCACTCAACACTGAGGTAAGAGACATTTCTCCCTGTTTTAGGAGGTCTTCAAGTGGGGCTGTCGTGTTAGAATATAACATAACCAGAGGTTTTTAAAATGAGGGCTAGGGACCCATAATGGTTCCTGGGCCCATTTTATTGGGTCCATTATTGCCGTAAAATATTATTCACTCATTATTCCTGTCAATATTAAGTGATGAATGTCAAGACGTTTGTGCGTCATCGAGGGGTGGGGGAAGATACTTGTATTTGTCATTTTGGTTTTATATAAACCAGCACAGAGTACTAGTGGTTAGCATGTTAGAGGTTCTATGTTTGAACCTCCCACATTAAAACATGCATGTTAGGTTAATCAAATGTGTCTATCGATGTAAATGTGAGTGTGAATAGTTGTTTATTACTACGTACTCTACGATTGACTGGTGACCGGTCCAAGGTATACAAAGCTTCTCTCGCTCAAAGTGACCTGAGAAAGGATCAAGCTCACCCATGACCATAATGAGGACAAACGGTATAGAAAATGTATGATTTGTTTTTACTCTGTATTCAACTATATTCGTCCTTAAAGTCTGGACACAGTCAGGCAACAAAAAAGTGAAATACAATTTTCTAAAAACGACGTCTTCAAAAACATGTTGTAATTAGCATCGTAAATAGAGTTTCCAGCATTTGTGATGCAAAGGTTGATGTGCTTTTCAAGATTCACATGAACTTGATGCGATAAGGTTGAAGCTTTCTCTTCATGTGTCTCCCTACGGAGAAATTTGTCTTGGCGCAAGGGACAGCTAAATACACAAACACAATCCCTCATAATTCAACATATAAACACCACATACATATTAAATCAGTGCAGTCCTCATCCATCCGTACTTCATCCCGTTAGTCGTCATCAGTTTTACTTACACATACAAAATTTTACTCATTTCGACTCACAGTTCAGTACATGCATGGTGGTTTAATACGTGTTTTTCTTTTCCGGTAAAAAAATGATACAGCGATGACTGAGCCGAGTGTGTTGGCTGTGCAATTAAGGCAGGTTGGAGGCACCAGCTGTGCCTTCTACGCCACCTTAATTGAATAATAAGCTTGATAGTCATGGAAATCTGTATTCCTTCATTCGTCATATAATTCATATACGTGCTGCAAGTATGTATGACTTGACTGGTGGCTTGGATGTAAATATAGCCACACGGATGCCATGGAAACAGGCTGAGCTCCTCTCATAACCATGCACCTGTTTGGTTCCTTTTTTTAAATTTTTTTTTTAAATCAGTCAATTCTTATTATTAGTAATTAGACATCTTATGTGTATTTTGAGTCAGTGGTGGTACACACCATAAAGGCTGTTTTGTTTTTCTTTTCTGTGACATAGATGTATTCATGTGATGTGAGTTAGGCCCCGCGTGCTCACGCTTCTATACACCCACCTGCCACCTCATTTGGTACACTGACATAATGCATCCAATTAAAAAAAAAAAGGTGTTAGCATTCAAATGGTGACTCGATTCATGTTTGTTGCCGTGTATTCCTGTCGATATTCCGTCAATTGTTTATGTACTGATCATATCAATATTCTGGCAATATTTCTAGGAATTAAACATTGCATTTTGGTTTTGGAAACCCTTTGTTTGTCTAATAGAAGAAGAAACAACAAAGATGATAAGCCTCAAATGGCTTTTGATTCATGTTCTGTTGCTTCCCAAATTCTGTCTTTAATAACAAATAGGACTTGCTACATTGGTATGCGCAGGTCTAACTGATGTTGTGGATGTGCTTTTCAAATACTGTACATTTCTAATTTGGCAGCAGCCAAGTGTGTTTTTAGCCGACTCAAATAGAAGTTGTTTCAGGCAAAAAAATGTGGAATGAATTTGGATGAATACGTATCTAGTTTTCTGAATAAAAACCTAGGTTGGTGGAGATGTCATTCATACTATTATGTTTGCGTTGACTGACACTCCTACGCTCGTGATAGAACGAAATTTGCATAAAGAGGACAAAATCCGCCGTGCCGGGAGGCAATTATTTAACGCTGAATTGGCTTCTAACACATATTCCTCTCTTCCAAGGCTCCCCGTTCTCCAGTTGTTCACCCATGGCCCTCATTCACGAGGCCCGCGCCCCATCTCCATCTCTATCCGGCTTCAACACCCCACTCTCCGACCCCCCGTCCTTTCGCCGGCTCGATGCTGAAACGCCCTGCACCCCTGAAATGGACCTGACGCCAACCCAGTGCGTCCTTCGGAACGTCCTTTCTATAGACGTGGGGGGCACAGTACAACCTGGAGGAGGAGGGAGAGGAGAAGGAGGCGACGGGCCGACGACAGGGCCCCACCAGACGCCGGGCGATGAGCAACAGGAGCACTTTGCCAACAGCGTCCTCAAGCTGCACGAGCATGACAGCGGTCCCGCCAGGACAGAGGGAGAGGGGACGGAGGCGGACGGCAGCGCGGTGCGGCGCGACGCGGCCAACACCAGGCTGCAGTGCCAATCTAGTGGAGGGGGTGGGGGCTTTCTGGAGGGCTTGTTTGGCTGTCTGCGACCGGTCTGGACTATGATCGGGAAGGCTTACTCCACTGAACACAAGCACGACCTGGACGGTAAGTTTACTGGCTGCCTCGCTTGCCCCTCTAGCACATCATTAAGTACGCCTATAAAAGCCAGCATGAGATACCTTTTTAAGTCCGCTCTGATGCTTTGCTCAGATAATTAAGTGATATCACCACCACGATTAATTTCATTAAACAGTTGTAAACCAGGCTTAGGGGGATATTTTTCTTATCAGTTCATTTAATTAAGTCCTGCAAGGGACATGTTACATTTATAAATACTTCTGTTGCAATGCTCAAACACGAACTAAATGGTGCTCCATTTCAGATGACCTTAAAAAAGGCCAAAGTGGCTTCCTTGACCCTGAAGATACTATTTTATATTATATTTTGCACGCGTGCATGTGTGTATTGGCAGGCCCATTGGAATGCTCAGGCGCAGTTTTCCTCAACGTAAAAGAAAATATCACAAAATGATGCTCTCTGACGATGATGAGGTTAATTATGTACCTTCTGCTATTTGGTGAAAGAACATTTCATTGTTTTGTCTCGGATTGCAATGATTAATCAAAATCATTTGATTAACAAAATAAGTCGAAGCAACATTTCTGCCATGAGGCTTTGCAGGGATCATCTTTCAACACAGACTCAACACTCACACCACTCTCTGTAGAAATTGGCGCCATGGCAGCGAGCCCAGATGAAAGCATGCGTAAAAGACAACGAATGTCCAAAGTTTGGATCATTTCATGCTTACAAAAGAAGATAACCTCTACTGATGCGCAGACTGGCTAGTTAACCGCCATTTGCTAACCTCTGAGCTCACAAAAGACAATTCTACTTCTCATTCGCTGACACTCACGTCACTGACCAGGCCTGTCGTGCCTTTGAAAGCCACAGACACTCAGAGTCAAAGAATGTGATGATCGCGACCCCACGTTGAAAAGACTAATACTTGCACCTGGGCATTTTGTTGTTTGATCATGAAAAATCAACTATGATCTGAGTATTCAACTAGTTGATGGGATAATATTCGATAGCTGCAGCCCAAATTCTGTCTGTCACTATACGTCACTGATAGGAAAACAAAGATGAATTATACTCTTCAGGCCAATGAAGTGAGATTGGATAATTATAATGCCGCGACACAGTGGTTGGAAATTACTGCTTTAGCAGGCTGCAAATATACTGAATGGCGCAGTAGCTGCAGCTTTCTCAACCCTGTTGTAAACAATTTTTTTTTTTACAGAGCATGAGATGCTCCATCAAAATCTCCACTGGTCTTATCTACCCCCCCCCCTCCCACCCCCCGG